GATCAGGTGGCACTTTTAAATGTTTTCAAGACCTCCTTTGCTTCAGTGATACTATCTGTCAGTGCAGTGTGAGGCTGTGAATGATCTGAGATCCAGGATAACCCACCCCATCCAGGATAACCCACCCCATGCCATGCTGATGGCATCCAGTGGTCAGGGCTCAGCTTAACAAGTCCCATGAGACAGGACAAACTTCAGTCCTTGGTCACCGGTGCCACACCTGACCGCATAAGGTGTCACATGTCAAATCCCTGTAGAGCTCCACTTGTCAGTGCTTGTCAGCTCTGCCATCTTGGGACACAGCAAAAAAAACAGTTGTCTTTCCAGGCCTAAAAAGACAAATAAAGATGCACACATTTGCTGAGGTTTCAGAAATACTCCTGTATTTTTTATTTGTGTACATATACTTGTGTGTGTACAGTTGTAGGCCTTGTCAGGGACATGCTTAGTCCACTGGGTGACAAGCAGACCTCGGTGGTCCTTGTACCTCAGAGGTACAGTGCTACCACTCCAGCAGTAAATCTTTAGAAATATTTGGAGGATGGTAAGTTGTCCTGTCTGCCTTTGTCATTTCAGCATGTGAAAGATGGGCAAGTCTTTCTTTCTGCATTTTCTGGAAGAGGTAGAACAGCACAGGTTGAGTAGATAAGGTATCAAATACAGGGATGGTGACTCACCTCACCAACTGCATCTTGCCAATGGCCTCACACCTTGTGAATTTTTTAAATAAATCTTTCAATGTCTTACCACTCATTTGTCATGTTGACAGGCAACGGCCAGCAGAGAACACTAGCTACTATTATGGGGTCACCGAGGTGGAAGAGAAAATGTAGAAAATAGCAATAAATATAAAACTGCTGGTCTGTTTCGAAATACATAGCTGGATAAATGGTCATTGTGAATATGTTTGCAGGTAGAAATACAGCTATTCTGTTGGTGTTAAGCAACTTCAGCTTCAAAGAAGAGCCTAAGGCAAAAATATATGTTTCATTATAGATGAGGAGGAAATAGGTGTTCAGAGGATGTTGGCTGTTCTTGAACTGAGCATTCTGACTCAGAGGAAATGTAGATGTGTAGAGAGGAGTACAGAGAAGATGGAAGCTATTCCTCTACCTGGATTCGGTAACACTTCCTGTTATGAAGACATGACTGATTATTTGTTTTCAGAGGATTTCAAATGCCCCATTAGGGTACAGTGGAAACATATCAGAGTCAAAGGTTTTCCTTGGGTGTCCTCTGAAAGAGCTTGTGACATGTGAGAAAATATCCTTCTGGGAAGATGAGTTACGTGAGGACCATCTACCAGGCTTAATCTAAAGGAGAGGTGAAGATGATGTTTTCTGGAAAACTTACAGATAAAGGTATCCGTGTCTTGGTCTGGCAGACAACAGTGTTGTAAAGGAATCACTCAAATCTTCACTGTGTCTTTGAAGGATAAATCTAAATTTCCTTATTTGAAGAAGGGTATACGTAGTATTTCTAGGTAGGCAAAAGCAGGTTGCAGTGATAGAAACAGCCACAAGCAAATGCAAAGCCAATGTGTAAGGGTAACCCCAAAAACTGAAGGTGTTATGGGAGATGACAGTAAAGAGTTTTCATTATGACTGAATATTAATTAGTGACATGGCTATTAACGATGACAGTAATTAACAGAGGAAGGAAAGACTTGTCATTGTCCAGAGGGTGAGTAATCAGTCTTGGCAGGTGATAAATAATGGTTCAGCAAGCTCAGCAGAAAGATAATCTGTCTGCCTCAGGACAACTGGAGAACAGCTATAACATCTTCCAGACTCTTGGCAGCATTCAGGAATGACTTCATGTTTTTAACGGAGACAAATTAAAATTCCTGATCTCAATTGCTACTTATATTCTGGAGTGGCTGATCACAGGAGTTCTGGTTGAGTCAATGCCTTCAGTTTACTCACCCCTTTAAGCCTTTCCTGCCCATTTAAACCTTTCTTATGAGGGGTGAGAAAGACTGGGGAACTAGTATTCAGCATTACTTGAGTTTTTCGTTGTTGTTTGACAGAAATTGAATGAAATCCTCAGAAGTGTCCCACAGCTGGGGATGTTATCATTCCATGTTAAAATGTAGTGGGACTTAGTCCTAAATCAGGAACTAAGTGTTTCTGTACTGGAAAGGGAAATGATCTGGAAAGGGAGATCATGCAGACTTCACTTCTGTGAGCAAAGCAATGCAATACTGTAGATGATTGTCAAGTATCAGCTCTCACATCACTTGGGAATACAATGCCTAAGAGATCACTACAAACCTGCAACCAGAGACCAAAATCAGGAGAAACAGTGGATTTTTTTGTTTAGGGAATTAATTGAAAAATCAAGAAAGATTCTGGTTTCACGAAACAGTGGATTTTTTTTGTTTAGGGAATTAATTGAAAAATCAAGAAAGATTCTTGGTTTGAACCAAGACAGCATTTTGTGAGGTTTTGTTTCTAACAAATACGGAAACACTACAGTTTGAATCTTCTTGAATTATCGTTCTAACCATAAATGTTGTACTCTGTCTTCAAAATATTTTTTTTGGTAAAAGGTAAAAGGGAACACCCGTGTTTATAAAATACAATATTTTATTAACAAACTTGTCAAAACAACATGGCTCTGAACATATTCCCCATATGTCATTCAGCTAACAGTGTTCACTAGATGCCTTTTCATTTAGCAGATAATTTTGCACCCCTTGTACATATTTTTCTAAATAAATTTATTGTTCAAGAAAATTACATGACCTCAGGATGCATCTGGCATGATAGTTTTAGTAGAGAAAAGAAAGTGCTGGCACCATTGCCAGAGGCATTGGTTTGCTGTAGTGCAAGGTACTGACTGCAGTTTTGGTGAGCTCAGTGCAAAGAAGCTGATTTAAATTTGAGAAGTTGCTGAATGGTAAAGTATAAGGAGAGACCACCTTAAGAGGACATAGGAAGGGTTGGGTTGGTTTAATGAGATGGAGGCAGGGAGGCAATGTGTCAGCCCTCCATAGATACACTCAGGAGAAACAGTCAAGGAAGAAGAATCATTATTTTCCTTCAATCATAATACACTTATAAAATGCATATAAATTGCACATTAACAAACTTAGGTTGTGAAGTTACAGGAAGAATTCAATCTATTTAAAAAAAAATCTGGAATAATTCTCCAGATAGGGTAGTGGCAACTGAAAATGCTCCTAGGTGAAGCTGGGAGGTGTGGAAAACGACCATACTGCTGCGAATACAAGATCATGAGATTGGTCCTTTAGTATCTGGTTTGCCTTGGAGGCATGTTGAGACAATACCCAGCTGCTGCTTGTTGACCATATCTGCTTGCCCAATGTATAAGTGAAATCAGATGCTTCCCTGATCTTCAGGAGCCCTGCTGATTCTCTGCAGGGGCCAGGTCTGTCATTTCATCTGCCTTGGGTGGAGGATGAGGTAGGTCAGGTCCATATTGCTGCCTGCTGCTGAAACCTGTCTGAAGAGGGTTTGCTGGTGCTGCTCTTTGTAGTGTTCTGGGTCAACTTCCATTGTCAGGGGAGTGGGTGCGGCTGTCCCTTTCTGTGTGGGGTAGAGCTCGCATTTCTAATGGGAATGTCACCTGTATGGGAAGTCAGAGGTGCAGATAATTGCAGGAACCTGGAGCACTAGCAGTACCTATTGTCTCTCTCTGTGGCATACTGTGACTCCTAGCCTTTATTATATTTCAGGTTTGCTGAGGGTGTGGGAATGCTTTGGTCCTGTGGGAGGCAAAATGTTCTTCTGGAGCAAGCATGGTGATTATGCTGCTCCTTGAAGTCCCATTCATATCTGAGCTCGGAAGTGCTCCACACAAATAAGATCCTCTGGGATTTGTTTTGTAAGCCTGAACCAGTTTGGATGGGGCTTTGAGCAGCCTGGTCTAGTGGATAGCATCCCTGCCCCTGGCAGGGGAGTTGGAACTGGATATAATTTAGGTGCCTTCTGGCCCAAGCCATTCTATGATTCTATGAAGTGTTACTGGGGTTATTAGCCTACTGTATGTGAATGCAAATATTTCTGCGGAAATTGACTGTGTGCTGAGAAGGGCTTGGTGTTATGTCTGCATCCAGACATGACATTGGTAGGTTGTGATGAATGCTGTTGTAATTTAGTATGGGCTTGCCATATTGCATCCAAGTGTCTTTGCTGATTGCCTTTGACTATGGAGAACTCCAGTTAGCTGATTTATACACACCATAATGTTTAATTTTAAGCTTAACTTTCTGAGTATGACATTTAACTAAATTTTGCTGCTCTGTCAGATATATTTTGGTAACAGGGCTTTCTACTGAATGGTGACAAGTTTTCCACTTCTCTGATCTCCACGCAAGCAACAGAGGTTGTATGCAGAGGATCAGTCCTAGAGAATCTGATGTTATTTGTATGATTGCAACAACTTTCATAGTACTGGATGGGCCCTGAAAACTTAATGGACTTCCTGATGGATCTTAAAGGCTCACTCTTCCAGCCACCATTCACAGGGGCTGTGGTTACAGGCTCTTTGAATACCACCTCCTTCTTTAAGACATTGCTTGTCTTTGGCATAAGCAAGGCCCTCCTGTCTGTTTTTGACTGATATTTCAGTTCTATACATTTGCATGTTACAGGTGTGAGGTGCTAGTAAATTCTCCTTTGTCTGTTTGCTAACCAGTGCCTGCAGAAACTTATCTCTGTATGCTGAGGTGAGAATAAAATGGGAGAGAACAGTTACAGAGAACCATTAGACTAATATCTGACTTCAGGTATATCAAGTCTACTATTGCACAGAAAGTCCCTTGGGAATTAGTACCTGTCAGTAACCATGTAGCTGCAGTGTGGCACAAGAAGGAAAAACATTCTGAAACCTCAGTGGAAATAAAAAGCAAAATGGAATAAAGCTCATGCCGGTTCTATTGTATCTATCTCAATGTTATCTCTCTCTAGGGCACTCAAACCCTGTGGTCTCAGTGTCTAATGCTTTCTTAAATTTTTGTTCATTTGTTTGTTAAGGTTCTGATATTGTGCAGTGGCTTATGAAGAACCTCAGCATTGAGGATGCAGGTAAGGTGACCACAGTTGGGGAGAAATAGGTGCTCCATTTGTATTGTGTGTACCATTAGACAGTAAATACTATATTGCTGCAGTCTAAAATGGCAGTAAAAGAACATGGTTGATTTAAACATTGGAGGGGAGGAGTAGGAAAGGATTTAAGGGTCAACATCTTAATTAAGTCTAATGCGTTATACTGCAACACACTGAAATACTATTGCAGGAATTTTAGCCTGTCTGTGAAGCTGTTGCTACCTACAAAGACTGATTGATTTTAGATTTTGTTCCTAGACTTCAAAAAGAAGTTGGTGGATGTGCGGTTAAGCAGGCAAATGCAGCGTCAGTTTTTCATGGTGTGAAGAAAAGTAGCCTCAGCTGACAGGACATAGTGTCTGTGTCATTCTTGGCCAGGGTCATAGAATTTGATGATGGTTTTTAATTTATCACAAAAAGCAAATAGATAAATCAGCAGATAGATAAATGGATAATCAGCTATAAAGAGTGATCAGTGCATGGGCACAATTCAAATAGCTCACTCTTCAGAGAAACCAAAATTATTTAGGCAAGTGAAGACCTATTGAGAAAAGGGGAAGAAAACATCTGCAGGTCCAGAAGTTTCTTTTCCTTTTCAGAAAAGGGGAAAAATCCAGACTCTCACCTACCAGTTTTTAAGTTGCCTTACTGTCACCATGTAAAAACAGAGATAGAGGCGGTGTTGAATCACCCAGCAAGGCATCCCCGTACGCATATCCTTTCTCATGAGTCCTGTCAGGTCCCAAATCTGAATTTCAGCTGCAGACAGCAGCTTTCTTATCTATCTGGACATGCACAAGCAGATGATTTTTCAATTCTGTGAAAGATGATGTAGTTTTTGACAGCTGGCATTGCTTGAAAATCTGCACAGATGGTCTTCTGCATTGGGGAAGGTTGCCTGGGCAGCACTAGGATTTGTAACTCCCCTTTGCAACATTTTCTCTAACAAAGGGCAGTGCTACAGTGTGAGGATGTGTCTTTATGAATAAATATCCTGCTAATGAACTGGTGTTGCCAGGTGCTTGTTGGATTTGGTAGAAGCAAGTGAGGGTCGCTGGTGGAACAGGCTTCTTGTCAGCTGTCACTTGTGGTGGATAATGTACTTTGAAATTAATTTCATACTCTAGGGCTGAACTGGTGTGTGAATTTTGTAAACAAAAACCTAACGGGTTAACATTTAAGCGGTGCTTCATCTGTATTGTAAGGCTGATTTCTGCACCCCTGCTTTACAGGGTTTGGCTGGAAATAGTAGGGATGTGGTGTGGGTACAGAGAGGCATGAGGGCACCGGATTTCACATGAGTCATCACTAGAGCTGCAGTTGAAAGCAGAGAAATGTGTGGTGCATGTCTTGTTGACGCATCCCTGCTGTTTTTTCTCTTTCACAGGGGAAGCAATACACTTGGGAAGTCTTATTGCTGCGCAGGGTTACGTCTTTCCCATCTCAGACCATGTCCTTACCCTTAAGGATGATGGGACGTTCTATCGTTTCCAGGTTGGTGAGCACCCAGACTCCCCTGTGGCCCCTTCTTCTGTCCCTGCAGTAATACTGCTGAAATCACCCACTCTTTATACCTAAGCAGCCATTAGATCTATGAAGCCAGGAATTAAGGCTATCTTCGTAGAGGCCCTAGGAAATTATGAAGTCCCTGCAAAAAAAATTGCTTTAGAATCCCAAATCACTCTCATCTACCTTCTGACTTAGTTTTTTACATAAATGAATGGCTGCCTCTTGTGACTGTTTCTAATACCCGAATGCACAGCTGTTTTACTCCAATTTGAACTGAACCAGGAGGAAGAAGAAGGCTTTCAGGTCCTAACTCTGATGCAGAATTAAGTAGCCATTCTCCTGTGCAAAATGGACCAGGGCAAACTTAGGAGCTGGACATTCAAGCTTTGGCACAGCAAGAAATTCAAATTTTTGTCACCTCTTGCTTATGGAATGGTGTGGGAGCGGGCAACTTTAAGGCTTTGGCTCTTCTACAAAGGATGTGTAACCTTAGCAATCACCTAAACTGGGACATCTCAATCCCTCAGTGTTCCTGTGCCTCCAGATGTGCTGAATTTTTTAAGCACCCAGTGCTTGTGTTCCATGCCCTGTCCAAAATCTGCCACTGTCAGCTCACTAGATAACTGAGTGCTTATGCTGCAACAACTCCTTCTGAACTGATTTAGAAGAAGCAGTAAGTCTAAACTTAGAGTGCTACTGCCTCATCCTGCTGGCTGAATTTGTGTTTTTCTGCTACATTGTCTCAGCCAGCTCTTTTATCTTTCCTGTCACATCTCTTCTGTTCACCCTCCTGTTCCTCCTTTACATTTTTTTACTCTTTTTTAGCTTTTATTTGAAAAGCCAGTTCTGCTCTTTGCATCTGATGTTGCAGCTGCTCATGCCTACTGCTACTGTGGTATTGTGTTATCATATGTGACCAATGTCGTGGTGAAAAAAGAAGCCCAGGAGATCACAGATGTCCTCTTATCTCACCCCACCTTCTGGTTGCAAGGGATAGTTCAAACTCAGATTTTTCCTTACAATTCCCTTCCTTTTCTGAAAGTCCTGATCCTCCTGTTGTGTAAGACACAACAGAAGCAGGGGTAATACTGGCTGTCCATTTAGCTGTATTTTTCTCTGTTTTAAAAGAATGGCACTCTAAGAACTTGTCCTCTGCAGTTTTCAGGAGCTACAAATCAATATAACTTAATTTCTTTTTATTGTTTTCAGCCTGTGTAAACCACATCATCAAACTGACTGCTTATTGACTTTTCTTTCCCTTGTCTGTTCTTACAACTTTTGCATATTCTTTGCCTGTTTTCATTTCCTCCAACACACCTCCTTAGCTGTTTTCTATAAAAATAGCCTGATAGAATCATGCTTTTTTTCCATTATTCTCTTCTTGTTACTTTTTACATCAACCTCAGTCGCCCCTTTAACAGTAGCTCTTTATCTTCTGGAATTCATAAGATACATATCAGTAGGAGCATTGAACCCTGTATTGTTTGAATCCTCCATGTTTTCTCACTGTACTTTAGTGGAAGGATTTTAACTCTGTGTGTTAATGTCTTATACCCATCTGTAGCATTACATCAGTAAAGCAATGTGTAATCAGTAACACATCAGTGTTCTGTAATTTGTGTGATGCTGGTATGTTATTTTTCATTAATGTTAAAACTGAAACGCAGTCATATATAGCTTGTAGTTAATTGTAGCAACTGCAATATGCAGTCCTGGATAAAAAACCAAAAGCACTAAGTATAGCAGGACTTCTGCTTTCGGAATGACTCTAAACAGCTGAGTTTTGACCTCTGCCATCTGTTACAACTAAAAAGGAAATTGTTTTGGAGTCTGCCAACCGCATTAGTAGCTGCTCCAGAAAAGCAAGGGATATGTAGCATATAGATAAGACCACAAGGTTCCGAAATTGTTTTGGAGTCTGCCAACCGCATTAGTAGCTGCTCCAGAAAAGCAAGGGGATATGTAGCATATAGCTAAGACCACAAGGCTTAGCATCATGCACTTAAAGAACTGTATGTATTCAGGTTGCCTGTGAATTCTTGGGGAAAGAGGAGGTTCTGCGGATAGTGGATAAGATGTCCACATTCAGATGAACTGGCAACAGTGTCTGAAATTTCATCAGGACACTGGACATCCTCCACAAGAGGTGCTTGCATTACAGCATCTCTGTTTACCTGCAGTGAGGACTATGAAAAGTTTTTGCAGCATCCTCACTTTTACTGTAATCTGTAGCAGTGTTTCCCCTGAGGGCAGAATCTGGGTGGTAGATTTTGTGATTCTTCTTTTTGAACTTTTAATGTTTTTCTGCATCTGAATCGGTTTCCATCTCTTAAATTACAAAAATGTCTATGTTTTTTCTTAGGCACCATACTTTTGGCCTTCAAACTGCTGGGAACCAGAAAACACAGATTATGGTGAGAGTATGATTGATTCATTATAGAAAGTTAGTTTGTGATGTAAACAGTTGTCCTTAAAATAATGACCGCTGGCCACATGCACCCTTCATGTGCGGAGTTTCTTGTCAGGCAGCAGCATCAGAGGTAGATCTGTGCCCATCTCAAATGCACAGACTGAAACCCTGGGGTGTCTCAAGCCCCTGAAGCTCAGTGGGGTCAGGATTTTGCCATCCGTTGCCTTCCTTCTCCCATAGCTCTGTTCATTTCAGCAGGATTTGTGGCAAGCAGAATACTGGTTCTTGGGAATCTTAAATAATACTGATATTGCTTTTGTGGGAGACTATCCTCTGATCTGTTGCTGAATCCGTTATGTGGATCAATAAAATTTACTTCATCTGGGCACTTACTGACTGATCAATAAACCAGTACATAACTAACAGCAGCCTATAGTTAAAAGTTCTCTGATACATGACATCACACTTATTTTCGCATTTTTTAAAGATTACCAGATTATATGGTAAAAGAGAAGACTGAGCATGGTTTATGAGTTAATAAAGTGCAACATGGTGTTTTAAACATGTGAGTGCCTGCAGACAGGGATAATACATAAAGAAAATATGTCAGTGTTGTTGTCTTTAGCTGTCTGCATGCAATATTGCTGTCTCTTCCAGAACTGCACTGCTTTCACAGTTAAGTGATAAAATTAATTGTTGCATCCTGGTGTGGCTTTGGAGGAGGAAGTGTATCCATGTGTGCAGTCATTAAACGGGAGCTTCTGGAAGTCCTTTATCTCATAATCTAAGATTGGTTTAGAGCTCCTCCCTGAATAATCAGTTTGGGGTTTTTTCTTTCCCGTGCAATAATTACTCATCATTATGGATCCTGGAAATCATTTGCTGGGGTGAAGAAGTAGCCTGCAATGGTGTGTCATGTGATAGTTCATTTGCAATCCTCATCTGCAGATGAGCTAGACTTACATGTTTATCCCAGTGAGGGAATGGTTAAAGAGAAAACACGATGCTGTTTTGTATTTGCAAAAAAAAAAGTCCAGATTTTACAGTCACCCTATATTACTGTGTGACTGTGCCTCATATGTATTCTTTAAATACCAGAAAAATAATGTGAAGAGGGAGGTTCTGTTTTTTTCCTGCAGTGTCAGATAAATAATTGGTTTTGGCAGTCAGATTATTGTGATGCAATGGCGCTGAGTGGAACTGTACACCCCAAAATAAAGCCCTCTATGAGCTTACCCACAGCTGGACAAGCTTCAGCTGCATTAGCTGAGCCCTGTAGTGACAGATTTTCATCTGTCCCAGAAACCTCCAACATATGCTTATAATCAGACTTTGCATATCAGAGGCCTGTACAGATGGAGTCTTCCCAGGAATTAATCCCAAACTAGCAGTAGACCCAAATAAAACTGAAATCCCAGGACTACTTCATACTTTTTTTATTTGCATGTGTCCACTTACAGGAGAGGAACTAACTTGCTAATGGCAGTTCACTGCCTTGCATGAAAAAACACTGTGAGACAACTGACTCACTTCATTTGGTGTCATAAGCACCTTACGGAGAAAACTGCCCTTGAGATGTGTAAATATAAATGAACTGATCAACTCTGGCTCATTATATGAATGTTTAAATTACAGAAACAGCATGGAGTAGAATTACATGAGTAGCACTGGGCCTCTATTAAGTTCAGACCTGACTGCATACACAGAGTGTGCTGTGGACCTTGTGTTTCAGCCTTTAATGGAAATGGGGTGAGCTTAGCTGATCCAGGTGGCACTTTCCCACAAGGCAGCCTGGGACTGGTTTGGTGGTGTGTGCTGGGCTCATCTTGACCCTCAGAATTCCAAACCACATCAGTTTCAGCAGCCTCTGCCTGTAGCAAAATGTGACAAGGCTTCTCTTAACCATTTGAGATGTGTAAGAATAAGAGGATGGAACATATTAAAAAATGCTCACATCATGCTTTTAAGGTCTGGCCCATATTTTTGTTTTCACTTCAATATCCTGATTTATTTTTATATTTTCTTAGCAGAAAAGAAATGCAGGGATGGTCACTTTGGCATGCATATTCCCAAACTACTTAGGGAATAGGTTGCTTATACTATATCTTTTACCAGACCCAGGAGCAATTGTGTCTTTTGTGGACATCCTGTTAGGTCCTGGCATCTGCTCTCAGCACTTTTAAATGAGATGTCCCAGATGTTCAGGGTCTCTGAGATTAGTCGTAAGCAATGTCAGCTGGGTGTCCAGCCCTCTCATTCCTTGACTCATGGTGCTTTCTGATGAAAACAAACTGTCATTAGACTACGTTTTTTCCTTCTTTTTTTCTTTTTTTTTTTTCTTTTAAGATCTAGTACTAATAATCTGTCTGTAATTGTTTTCCATTCTGTTTCTCCCTTTAGCCATCTATCTTTGCAAACGGACCATGCAGAACAAAGCTAGGCTGGAGCTGGCGGATTATGAAGCCGTAGGTACACTGCTGCTAGAGTTTAAAGCTGGGGATGCAGGGATAGCTTTGCTTGCCAACTGAATGCTGCAATTTTGTGCTTTGGGGTCAGCCTTGACTATATCTTTTCCTTAGCTGTCAGAACTGTGTGAAGGCTGGTATGAAGACAGCATCAGGAACAAGACTGATGAATGTCCCTGGCTTTGCAGTGTCCCACATTAAAGCATCTGCTGTATAATGAGCCCTTCAAGAGTGGAGCAAATTACACAGAAGTTTAGCTTGGTGTCCTGTTTTCAGTTAGGAAATCCTGGTTTATATAGCAGATTTCAGCACAGGAAAATGATGGATTTTTCAGGTGTGCCACTGGGCAATTAAATTGTCAATAACACATCTTGTTACAAAAGTTCTCAGATATTAGACTTGGAACATTTTCTATATGCCATATGAAAAGTATTACTGAACTTTATTTAGAGTGCGTTTTCTGATACAGAGTTACTATCAATAAAAATATCTCAAACTTTGGTGTCAGACTGCAGGGTGGAGAGGAGTGGGAAGATGGAGGCAGGAGGGGCAGGGCTGAGTATTTCTTTAAATACCAGCAGTGTAGCACTATGAGCGGCTAAACTTTTCTTTCTGTCATATTGACTTTCTTCTGTTTACTTGCTCAGCAGTGTAATAGCAGAATTTTATACATGGAGTTTTTCGTTAGAGGGTTTGTTTACAAGTCTAGTGGACTTACGTGGTCGTGTTTGTTACAATGAAAACATTTATGTTGCATATATTTGCATATATTTTAGAATGGGTTTTTTTGGGTTTTTTTTCCTCAAGATTGAAGTTTTCCCTTCTTCTTTACCTTCTACATTTTGGAATATTTGTGCACATAGAGAGATATGCCATTTGGTCCTTTCAGTGCAGAGCATGCAAAAATTGCCACTCATCTAGTCCACCCTGGAAATGCCTTCCGACTTCCCAAGAGTTCTAATCTCAGGCACAAAGGAAGGAATATAACAACTTGCATGCACTTACATGTCCTTTTGCTGAGTTTTCTCTTCTGCATATTGTTGATTTCATTATTAAAACCATTAAAATTGCTCACATCCAACCAATTAAGTGTAAGTACTCCAAAGATCTACCATAAAGCAACAAAAGGCTGTTCAGCAGCGCACATACTCCCACACACATGCAGTCAGGCTTTGGCTAAGTACTTTTGCACATTGTTGCCTACTGAGAGTAGCAATGCTCCAGTGATGGTAAATAATTAGATCTTGGCAGTCTCTCATTTTTCTTGTGAATATTGCATTGCACAATTAGAGGTTACTTCTGCATTCAAACTTTGTTCTCTTAATTAGAGACATTCAGATAAGAATGGCACCAGCTCTTCCTAAGCATTATGGGAGCTGAAGCAGATCCAGCAAGGGATGTAAGCTCAGCACAAGTGAGAGAAACACATTTGCAGGAGTGAGAAGCAGTGCTTCTCATACCTTTGGAGATGCAGCATGAGAATGCTTCTCCACAGATATCAGCTGTGACCTGGAGCTTCAAGAGAATAGAATTTCATTTTTAAGTTCTGCTTGCAGCATTTACAGACAGTCCCCCAACCCACATTTATGCTGATTAGAGCAGGGGTCTTGATGATATGATTAAGCTTGTATAGTTGCATTCAGGTTTTTTAATAATTGGTTAAACATAAGCACAATTCAAATATAGCTTCCGTTGGTGATGTTTCATTTGCTTCAGCATATTTACTTCACAGGGCACATGTGAACATAATTTAAAAAAAAATAAAAATAATGAAATAAATAGCCACAAAAATTTGTGTTAAGATAATTACAAGTTGTTGTTCTTTGTAGCCACAGTTAAGGAAATCATCATTCTTCAGTACAGCTGTAAATCATTTGTTTAACTTTTTTCCTCCATATGTACAGACTGAAACTGTTACATGGACTTGGTGGTAACAGGGCCAAGCTTTATGCCTTGTGTTATATAAGAGTTTAAAGTAACTAGTAGGAAGATTTCTTGCATTGAAATGTGTGTGCCTGAAAAATGTTTCTCAAAATAAAGGTGCTAAGTATAAGGAGAACAAGAGTAGAACTACAAGTGTTTGTTTTCAGTGTAAATTTGAAGCAGTTAAATCAGCTGTAATGGAGAAGAATGTCCTGTTAATTGGCTCTCAGGCCTGCTTTCTTGGGGGGGGTATGGGTATGTAACTTCAGGGTGCAATTTAAGCCTGAAATTCCAGGCATGTTCTAAGTTTAACCTCAAGCTGTGATGAAGCCACATCCATATCCAAATGTTCAGATCGCTACGCTCTCTGGAATGGGTCTGGACCAGAGCTGTTACTTCAGGTGTAGAGCAAAACTGCATCTGGAGCCATTCTTTGCAGTAACTGTGTTCATTGTTCAGACAAACAAGCTATTTCCTTTTGTGAATCATCCTGGCAATCCCCAGCCTTCAGTGCTGTGCAGCTGCATAATGCTCTCAGCAGCGACCAGGACTGAGCAAAGCAGGGGACGCTCAGGCTTTGCACCTTCACAAAAGCCTGAAGAGAAGAGAACAGTGCAGAGAGGAGGGGAAGTGAGGATGAGAAGGAAACGTGCAGCTGGCAGCCATCTGCTATCAGAAATTAAAGTCATCAGCTTCACAAAGCTTCTCAGTGTTATCTTTTGGGAACAAGTCCATAATTTTTTTCATACTAGAGCTCAAGCTGTCTTCATCACACTCCATTACTTATGCCTGGCAGGGCCCTTTGGGTTGCAGCCCAAAAAGATGTGTTACAGCCTTGCTTTGCCTGCACTGTAGTTCACCTGAAACCAACACTGACTTTCATGTCTTTAGTTGCGCAGTTAAAAAAAAAAAAAAGGAATAAAATAATACCCACCATGCTAAATGTATTCTCAAGCAATTGTTATAATTACAGAAATTAGTTGTTCTTACTATTTTGATCTTTTGACAGGAAAACTTAGCAAGACTTCAGAGAGCATTTGCAAGAAAGTGGGAATTCATCTTCATGCAAGCAGAGGCCCAAGTGAAGTGAGTAATCCTGGAGCACTGAATTGCACCAGTGTTTAGAGCTGTGAAGGGAAGGGGATTCTGAACAGATAAAACTTCTTTGTCAAAATCTTTACTGTGACTAAGCTCAGAAGGTGTTGGTGAATTTTAATCACTGGCAGACTAGAAACAGTAGAGAGCCAATTTTGAAGGTCTGTGCCAGAAACTGAAAGATGGGTTTAATTATCTGTACATGGAAACACTGGTCTGGAGCTCCTAAGCCTGTATTCACCATGGGACCAAGCCCATTGTGCTTCTACATTTGTGGAGTATTTTTGTTTTGTATGAATGGAAAGAACAGAATTTTGTCATCTGTCTGTGTTACTCTATGCTTGCAGAGTATTTCTGAGTCTAAAAATACTGTCACTTCCATGTGATTATAAGGGTGGTATTTACAACAGGTATTTCTTCTCATCTTCCCTTGTGAAAGCAGTGTGAGGCGTCTATATTTTGAGTGTGTTTTCATTACTGCTAGTAAATGGATATGGTCTAGGGTTTGTGTATGATTGTCTACAAACTAATACCTAAAACTCTGAGTGTCCATTTTGTGCATGCCATTGTCATTAATAAAATGGAAAGCTTGGTGAAGATGACACATGAGAACACAAGTACCAAAATGGTTCCATTGGAAAGAATTTGCAGTTTCAGTATTAGATGCTAAAAAGTTAAGGAATATAATTTCTTGAAGGTGTCTCTGTGAGGTATATGTCTCTATCTTTGATTAACCCTTTGGAATTTTGATAAATTCTTTGCTTAATAACATTGCAATTATGTACCATTTAAATATATGGTAATTATCTTTTAAACTGCAGGGTAATTAAAGGATTTTTTCCCAACCAGAATAGCAGTGTTCCATTTGGAAGAGAAAATTAGAACTTAGGATAGCAATTGTACTTTCAGTTACTTAAAGGCTATTGCCAAGATTAAAAAAAAAAAGTGTAAGTCAAAACAAAAGTCTGCATTCTGTCTAAAACATATAATTATCACCTAAGAAAGAAATGTGAATATCAGACTCATTTGATCACTGTTAGTTATTCATCTTTTCTTCATACGGTTTTCTTTGAAGGATGAGCATGAACTCGCCACTATCAACTTTTTTTGCTGGAGAGTTTCAGATTCTTGGTTCACAGTTCATGTGATGGTTCAGTCTTCAGGTTTCCAGAAAGGCAGGGATAGAATTCACATAGTAATTCACAGTTAACTAAAAGTTTAAGTTAACTAGAAAAGGGAGGGAAAAAAAATACCTGAAAACATTCCTCCTGCTTACCAAGTTTGCTTTGTTTTCCACATTTTTGTTTGCACACAGGATTCCCATTGCTATACCCACATTGCTTCAAAAACTGCAGCCATAGAGCATCTAGCTGCTTTGGGTCTTCATAGTTTAAAATGTGAAATACTGAGTTATCAGTAAGTCTGAAGATAGGAGCTGACAATCTGTGTTGAGCATGAAATGTTGATTGAGAGAATTCATGAAGCCTCCAAAGAGTCCCTTCAGTCTGTGTGTGCTGTGTGGTGTAAGATTGGAATAGGCTTCACCTTCCCCTTTGGCCAGGTGTAAAGGACTCACTCTGAAAAGCAGTTTTGGGCTGGGTGTCCTTAGTGCAGTAAAGCAGCTGCTCTGGCTTTGTGTGGGGACAGAGCTTGTGCCAGAGCTTGTTTCCCATCTTTGCCTTCCAAGGGGGAAATCAGCTAGTGATGTGGAGAATTTGGTCTTTTTCTGGGGAGGGCTGCTCATAAACTTCAGTTTTTCTCCCCTGATTGCTATCCTCTTGGTACATTTCTAGCATAGACTTAGGCAGGGGTCACTGCCCCTCGAAAACAAAAACAGATGGGAGAGAACCTGGTGGTCAGAAATCACAGCTGGCCTGGGATTTTTTTCCTCACTGCTTTGATTTTCCTGGTGGCAGCAAAGTGGGAACCCAGCACAGGGACGCAAAGCTTTACTCAGTCCTGCTCTGGAAGTGAAGGCATCAGGGCTGGAATTACAGAGTTCCTGTTGTACCAGCCCAGTCACGTCTCTCTGGGGTGGGTGCTGGTTTGTAGGGGCCATGCAGCAAGCTCACCCTTGGCCAGCATGGGGGCACAGAGACAAAGACAGTCTTTGAGTTGAAAGCTCGGAGGAGGAGTGGCCACAAGTTCTGCCCATGCTGTTGCTTCTGGGAATGTCTGGGATAGATGCTTCTTTGTAATCTGTATTCATTGAGTGTTGATGATGGGGCATTTAGGTGCAGTGGGGTCTCCTGATGGGGACCTCAGTTCAGCATCAGCCAGGAGCCTCACCTGGAGCAAACAGGTCCTGGTGGGTATCCTTATATCCTTACACAGACAAAACTACAAACATTCCCAGCCTGTCAAATCAGAGTACTGGAACAGGGTACCAGGAAGAGTTTTCCTCACCTGATGAAAAACAGCTGTTAAATTTTTCCACATTAATAGGAAAATCTCTTTTGACCCATGTTGGAGTAAACATCAGTGTTATTTTGTTCATGGCGTGTGCCCGTGCAAGTGTGACATCACTGTACAAAAAAAGTGGATTTCTGAAATTTTTTGTCTTGGGGTTAAGAACCACAGCTAGGAATTATATCAAAGAAGAAAGCATGACTTGTACATTGACTCATACTCACGTATGCTTTTGTTTTCAGAATTGACAGGAAAAAGGATAAAACAGAAAGAAAGATTTTAGACAGCCAGGAAAGAGCATTCTGGGATGTGCACAGGCCTGTGGTAAGGCTATTTTTGAATTAAGAGACTTTCCAGGTTTTGACAGGAAAAGTTTTATTACTAGTAAATGTTTTATGCACAAAAACATTGTCCTTACAGTCACCACATGGATTTTCCTCATGGTGACTTGTTCAAAATGCACCAAGTGTCTGCAAGATTATTTGAGACATTCTGAACTTCTGTACCTATGGAACTGTTGGTTTGGAAATATGTGAAAAGTATGAACTTTGGAAAATTATTTACTGGGCTTATGAAAGAAAAGCAGCTTACTCAGTTTGTCTCAGACTTCTTAGCAAAAAGCTCCCCCCTGTTAGGTATTTCCTTTTGGTGCCAAAGTTAAGAGTAAGTGGATTGAATTCTGACATGGCATCCTTGGGTATATGCAGTCTCTTATTTAGCAAGAGTAATTTATGGGACACAAACCTCAAGAAAGAGTTTTGGACAAGATCTAATAATATACTTTATAAAGGTAAGGTAGGATGAAGATTCTTAACAGAGGAATAACACAATTACCATCGCTTTTCAGCCAGGCTGTGTGAACACCACAGAAATGGACATTAGAAAGTGTCGCCGTATGAAAAACCCACAAAAAGTGAAAAAGGTCAGTTTGAGTTCCTGGTTTTGGTTTTTGCTTGTTTGGAGTTGGTTGGTTCACTGTTTTTGTTTTCTTTTAATGTAAGTCATACTTGACACTTACTGTATATGAGACTTACCCAGGAGGAGCAAAAAAAAAAAGTGGTTTGTTAGTACAAGTTCTGTTTTGTTCTCCTTGGTGAATTTATTATTTCAGCTTTACCAGCAAAGTTGTACTGACTTGATGGGTGATGAGTGGAGCTGAGGAGGGCATTGAGGATCTCTGTGTCCCAAATGTCTGATGGCTCTGCAGTCCCATAAAATTAAAACAAATTGGCAAAAATACCTAGGTCCCTTTTTAAGAAATTATCTGGTCACAGATAATGAGATGTTTACCTGCCTTAATCATTTTAAAGGCTGGATCATTAGCAACTTGGGTGTCTTTCACTTCCAGCAAGTTTGAGCTCTTCTTTGTGTATGAATTCATAGAATCAATTAGATTGAAGAAAACCATTAAGATCAGTGACTCAAAACCTTGACCTAACCAAACTAAACCTTCACTAAACCATGTTCCTGTCTTTTAAATAGTTTCAAGGATGGTGGCTCAGCAACTTCTCTGGGCAGCCTTGTTCCACTGCTTGATAACCATTTCAGAGAAGATTTTTTTCCTAATATCTTAGCCTCCCTTGGCACATCTTCAGGCTGTTTCTTTTTATCTTATCTCTTGTTATGTTTTTGGACAGAACACTGGACTCCTGAACTTCCAAAAGTAGTTAAACTGCAGCAGAGCTATTCACATGTCTATTAGAAGTTTTACTGAAAAGCAAAAGCACTAAATAAAAGGGCAAATGGTATTACTTTCAGTGCAGGTGTCTGTCCTGAAAATGAATGGCTACAGATCAGTCTGCAGGTTTTTGTTTAGAGAAGTTCATGTGACCCCTTGACTTGACCTGGTTAAGCACTTTCTTCAATATGTAGTTGTACATCAAGAAATTAAATCAAGTGAAAGACAACGGCATAGAATTAGGTTCTAGTATTTTCTTTTGCCACTTGGTTCCCTCCCAGTGTTCATCCTGCAAGTGTAGTGCACACAGCCTTCAGAGTTCCTAAAAATTATCATTTAAACATTTAAAACAAACTCTCCTCTTAACCTACAGGCCTTCTAAGTACAGGCATCAGCAAGAATGGTCTGATCTGTAAATTTTGCTCAGGGCTGAATAATTATTTACCTGTGTGGGTATAAACAGTAGGAAATTGTTGGCTTGATACCTTACTGCTTTGCATACTGCACTGCTCCTCATTGCGTAACAGAAAAATGCTGTAATCCTTTGGTTTGTTCCTTGGTTCCTCCCAGTCAGTGTATGGGGTTACAGAGGAGTCTCAGCCCCAAAGCCCCGTTCACCTGCCCTCCCAACCGGTGCGCAAAACAACAAAAGAGGATTTCCGGAAGCAGGTAAGTAGGTGGCTGCATGGCAACTCTTCTGAGAACTGCTCCCAGAAAAAAAAGCCTAGAAAGTTACTGAGATACCAGCAAAACCAATTGTATGCTTTACCTGCCCATGATCCTCGCATACTTATCCTTGATTCTCACTTATGTAAAGTATTAGTAAGTATTCATTGAGCACTGCGGTTGTATGGTGATATGTATTATGAGTAACACTGACCTTTGAAACTACTTTTATTTTCTGTGGACCAGAGACAATAAGGCAATAATTCCAGTTCATTGAGGATGTCTGTAAAGTGGCCAGTGACAAAGGCCAGTGTAGCTGGGCACAGGCTGGGGATGAGTGGTGAGGAAAGGCATAGTTTAGACTGTTAGACTGCACGGTCAGAGCTTTTAGGAAACTAGGAAAGAGTTATTTGGACAATCATGCCAAGGAATGACCAGCCAACTCACATGTCCTTGAACTGGCACGAAGAGCTCTCCCTCAAAATTACTTTGCTGCAATAAGCAGCCCTCATTGAAAGACAAACAGGAATCACTGGATCAGCATTTTACTAATGCAGCAACCAGTTTTTGGGTGGTCTTCTGAACTAAACCTGGATGCTACATTTCTTGAGCTTTTTTATAATAGGTTAAAGAACTGGTTCATAGCAGAATGAAAGTGTGCTGTAAAATGTTACTGGTCTTGTGATGCCAGTCAGTAAGAGGAATGGGAGAGCAGAGTGTGTTTGGAAAAAGCAGATCATATTGTACCCTGAGTAGTCTAGGAGCCTTGGCCCCATGTATGTGTCTTTTCTACTTTCAGTTATGTCTTCTTAAGCTTCCCCTGGGGCTTTGCCTTTGGCAATGGAGCCTGCTATTGGAAGCAGTTAATAAGTTTCTGATACCTAGGGAAGGGTCCCATTTCCTTCTGAGTTACTTTCAAGCTGTTTGGAAGGAGAAATCAATAGTGTGTTGGGATATTGTCAGTGCATGCTGCAGAACTCATAAATTGTTAATATCCTTGTCATCTCTCTCCTCAGATAACTTTTCTGAACATGCAGATAGAGAGACATTGTTTAAAGATGTCCAAAGTAGCAGAAAGGTGAGTGTCCCCATTTTGATGATTTCCTATTCTTTCCTCATCTCCAGTTTGGCATTTCTAGAAACAGAGCAGGCAGCAAAGTGCAAAGGCTTTACTCCTTTCTGTGCATCAATCCTTTCCCCTCCTTGACCAGACCTTGCTGCCTGTCTGCTGGCTGCTGACACTTCTGTACTCACTCTTCTGCCACTGAGCAAAAATAGGTGAGAAGTGAGGACCTGTAATACTGCAAAAGAAAAGAAGCATTAACAAAAGAAAAAACCCTTGTATGACTTGTTTCCTACCCCTTCACTACCCTGTGGTTTATTTTTAGAAAAGTAATTCCTGTCTCAATAGCCTTTTTTCCCTTTTTGGCTGAACTCTCCGTGCTTATCTCTTGTTAGTCTGGCACAGCCCTGGGAAAGGAGCTTGTTTGCATTTGTTGCACATGGTGTTCACATCTCTGTTCATACTGGGGTTGTAGGACCAGTTCCTGCTCCCACTTACATGTATATGAAACCCTTAGAGAAGTACTGGGGTTGTACCTGGACTGTTCAAGGCAGTGTTTTAAGGAGTAGATTTCTAAGAAGTAAATCAAGGCACAATTTGACTTGCAGAGTATTTAGTTTTGGTAGAAAAGTATGAATAGGTGAAGAACAAGCTCAAATTTAATTGAGTATGACAACGCATTTTCTTAGGTACTTGTAAGTTATGCACATTTGCAGGATAGTCACTGAGATGAAGGTAGGGATAGCCATGCTCTTCAGTGATACCACTTTTAAAGCAAAACTGTGTTGAAATGAAGGATAGGATAAGGGCTGGTTCCTTCTAGAGAAATAATAGAGGAGTTTTTATTTCAGCAAAGCAAAACGGGAATACCCCATGAAATGTGCTTTGCAGTGCCTGCACCTGTAGTTAGCATGCATGTACTAAACCAGCTAAATTAAATGGTGAGAGGCTCAATGTAAGTTCTTATTGGCTCATCAAGTTTAGCAATTAAAATGAAAATGTGTCCAATTAAAGAGAAAATATTTAGAGGCTCCCTGAAATCCTGCATGCAATACATTGTATGATTAAAATGAGCCCATTTATATTTATGTTTTGGGCTTTTGGATCTTTTCAATTAAGAACATATACTTGTACTTTAAAAAAAAAAAAAGTTATTGTACTGAATGTTATTTACAATGACCTTAATATATTGAGACAGTAATTTTCCTGGTTTGAAAGGGGTTTCTTTTTTTTTTCTTTTTTAATTGCTCTCAAGTTGGAGAAAAAAAATGTTGCTATCAAAACCTGTGCAAAATAATAACAGGAGAAAAGCAAATAAAATGAGAACAGTCAAATTACACAATGACAGAATAAGCTGAGTTGGAGGGGTCCACCAGGATCATCAAGTCCAACCCCTGGCCCTGCACAGGAGAGGGAGCCCAAGAATCACACCATGTGCCAGAGAGCATTGACCAAACACTTCTTGAGCTCTGGCAGGATTAGTGCCAGGACTGCTTCCCTGGGGAGGCTGTTCCAGAGCCCAGACACCCTCTGTGTGAAGAAACTTATATTTCTAAATAATTATTAATAATTATAAAGAATGAAAATCATGGTTGTGATCTTTATTTCTTGTGAGGAGGTGTTTGGACATGTGATGACTTTGAATATTGATTTGAATATTGGCAATATTGATTTGAGAGTCCCAGGACTTGATGTGGAGAGTGGTGGGATGTGCAGCCTGGATGTGGAGCATTGCAGAGCAGGTAGGAGGGAAGCAGAAGAGCTGATAGGTCCAGTGGCTGGTGAGGAGGAATGAACATGGATGACCTGACTTGCACAATTGCCTGGAAAAAATCCTGTGCAGCCTTGAAAACCCCATGAAAACACTGATTACTAGCACTAGGAACAAGGTTGCTGTGTAAGGAGATGCTGTTATTATCATGTCCATTTTCAGGCTGGACCCTGCTCTCGGGCAGTTTAGGTGACGGGCAGATCAGGGTACAGGAGATGACTTTTTGGCACACTCCCTTCAACAGTCAAGCCTGACTGCCAATTTTTCAGTATAGCACAAAGGCACTTTCAGAGAGGATGAGGGAAGTAACAAGGAGCAAATAAATCAGGAAGCACTAGGGCAAACAAGTTACAGAAATAAGATATAAATTGTTTCAATGGTATTTATTTTATACCATAAAATAAATACCATAGATCAATGGTATTTATTTTATATTAATTCACGCTATTCTTGGGATAGCTCTTGTCTGTCAGAAGAGGAAGGGTCTCCAAAGGATATCTGCAGCTTCTGTGAGATAAATGCTCGCTGCTAAAGATTTTCTTTCCCTTCCTCCCTGTTCTGCTTCCAGGAGTAGATCTTTACCAACTGTGGGAACAGGCATCCCTCAGCTGCTCCACACACCTTGGAAACTGTCTTTCTTCCACATCCTTTCTCCCCACTTGGGACCTGTGCACTGTCAGTTTTAACCACTGAGCTTTGAGAACTGTTGAGCAAAACTGTCAATATATTCTACCTATTGTTTTCCCTGACTTCATTGTGCAGTGTTAGTACTATTTCATTAGACACGGCATCACCGAAATGGCTGGGGAAAAGTGAGCATCTTCCTACCAGAAGCAATCTCAGTTCCCTAGACGAAAATCTGATGAAAAGCTATCTTTTCAGCTTCTCATCAAAGTTCCTGTGAAGGCTCAGCAGGCCCCCTTGATTGAGAGAGAGCTGGATTCTCAAGGCAAGCTCTGCACCCTTCAGTCAACTGTTCCTACCACGTCTTCTACTGGGTATTCAGTTTATCACCCAAAAGACCAGGTTTGCATTTTGACAAAAATGCTTTTCCTTAGCAGTCCCTGCCTGTAGCCTGCTTTATACCATGAGACAATGATTCTACTGGTGCCATTATACTGAATCAGCAAAATGTGCTTAAAAATCTCCCCTTGTTTCATTTTTGTTTTTTCTCCCTTTCCTTTTTGCTGGTACTTGTATTAGCACCTCTGATGCCTTCTTAGTATTTTATTAGGAGCAATTGAGGTTTCACAGCAGATATCTCCTGATTGATCCTTTTTGGCTTTCTTTTCTTTTTTAACCAACCCTCTCTTTCATTGATGTCTGAGGGACTGCTGCTGCTCTGTGAAATTGGACGCTGCTCCCTCCTCTAACCCTTGACCCACAGCAGTCATGAAATGTAATTAATGAAATGAGATGAGACAGCCCCGAGTGCCCTAAGGGGCAATGGGAACCTGCTGTGGTTACAAAAGTGTATGATTTTAATGCCTCATGATAAGAGCTAGGACAAACAAAAAGAAATAATTACTATAGAGCAGTTCAGGGAAACTTTCTGCCTTTTATGACCCTTTGTTTCACAGGGTCTTTTCATTTGCCTGCCTTTTTGAGATATGGAGGACCAGAGGTAAAGTTTAGCATGGACAATCACAGTGCAAGTACATTGGGTGTTTAGTATGATGAGACATAATTAACTTAGTTAATTACTTGGCAGACGTAGGCAAAAAAATAAAGTGCCTTAGAGTATTTCCAATATAGACTAGAAGAAATGTATTTTGATTTATTTCATATTTGCTGTCTTTCTTTTGTAAAAATGCGCCCCTAGCCCCAACCCCAGTGGAATTCCTGAATCATTTATGCAAGCAGGCACAGTCCTTTCCCCAGAAAGCTCTTTGATTCTCATCCTAGTGAGGATGAGAGGCTATATGCCTTAACTGACTCACCATGAAGCAAGCCAGTGTAAAGGCCAGGAGTTTTTCCAACATGCATATTATTTACTGTTCTCTAAGTTAATTATTACTGTTGAAGTATTTTACAAGAGTGCTGTTAGACTAAATACTATTCCAACATAACTAAAAAATTATCTATAGGCAAAGCTTTGATGTTTAGGGCTATGATCCTCCAAAGATTTAAGCATATTCTTAGCTGCAGCCCTTGACCCTGTTTAGGTGAGTTTCTCATAGTGCATAAATGTATGTGGGTGCAAAAGTTTGCAAAAATGAAAAGGATGAGAGTAAATAGTAACATGCAGCAAATGAGCAGGATGACACATACTTCATACTCTTCCCATGGCTCTCTGGGGGAAGTCCTGCCATAGCAATCCAGTTGTTGCTTCATCAGGTTTTTTGAGGGCATCTCAACAGACAGAAACTTGAGAAAAATGCTGCTGTTGAGGAAAATACTGCAGTGAGCTGGTGACTGTTTGCAGAGAAATTCTTGCATGCATCATCCCTGGGAAAAGGGTCTCCTGTGACTGTTGAGAAACTGACTAATCCCTATAAATAAAAAGAAGCACACACAAAAACAAAACAAAAAACTTCCATTAAAAAAAAAACCAACAGGATAAAAAGAAGAGCTGTACTTTTCTGACATGTGACTAAGCATTCAAACCCTTTCTTTATTCTTTTTTTCCCTTTTTTTTTTTCCCTGTCAGTTTAATAGCCTACACAGAGCAGTATGTGGAATATGACCCCTTTATAACTCCTGCTGAGCCTTCCAATCCCTGGATAAGTGATGATGCAGCACTGTGGGACATTGAAATGAGGTAAAAATTAATTGGTGGTTTTAACTAATGTGAGAGTTGTCTTGGCATTTTGTTTGTATGCTCTTCACACTGTCCTGTTTGAAAAGAAAGTTGTATGTCTGTACTACAAGATTCAAGAACTTAGCTAAAGTTTATCACTGGTATCTAAGAATTATTCAGCCCTTCCACTTCCATATGGCTTGATGTATGTGACTCTCTAACTCAGGTAATGGATGTTCACATACCTATCAAACACATGCCCAGACTCAGGTCTAGGAGCCTAAAGCTGTAGGATACTGCTAAGGCAAACTTGTTCCAGCACATCTTACTTGACTCTTGGGAGCCTGCTCTTCCCAGCTGCAATGCTCCAGCCCTGCTCCTACCATGGAATCCCATGAAAGATGCTGCTGGAAAATGGGATGAGTTATAAGCGGTGGCCATTACTGCTGTGCAGAGTGAGTTTGGCACAGGAGCCAGAAGAGTGTAGCTCGGGTGTGATGTGTGAGACTTGGCAGGTCAGAATTGTAATGGGTTGATAGAGTGAGTTTGGGCCTCATCTGTTGGTGAACAAGCTGGCTTGTCTCTTTTCCTCCCTTTTCCCATCTATTTGACATCTCTATGATGTCAAATAGATGGGAAAAGGGAGGAAAAGTCTGTAGGATATTCAATGCCTTGCACCTCAGAGAGTTTCTAAAAAAACAAACAAGCAGAACACTGCAACAGAGATGATGTTTTGCCCCAGCGATGCTGGTGCAAGGGAAGTCTCCCTGTGTCTGTGTCTCTTGCCCTCACAGTCTATCCATAATCCTCCTAAAGGGGCTCAAATTGTCCTGCCTGCCACTATGCCTAACAGCTCCCTCAGCAAATTTCAATGGCACTCCCATGCCCCACATTACCTTCACTACTCAATCACATCCTGTGGCCAGCAACTGCAAGGACTCAGCAACTTCTCCAGTGTTTAGTTGCTGCCATTTGGCACCAAATCTGAATTTGGAGTTCGCTTCAGCAAATCTTTAATAAGAGAATGCCAAATCTAATTCTGTGTGTTCTTGAATAATAATTTAGAGATGTTATTGGCCTAAGAAAACTGATTCATAGGGAATCAGCGTTCCAGGAAAAGGACAAGATTTTTCCCCATTTAAAAACCAAGTAGTTTGGGATGTGAAAGTTGTTTTCATCTACAGAAATCCATTATTTTCCTAACCTCTGCCCCTCTTCCCATAATTTTAGTATTTGTTGTTTTTTTCTTAGCTAATTTCTCTCATTTTCTCCATCCTCCCTAGTAGGACTAGTACCAGATACAGCCCTTGCAAAATACTGCTTTGTAGAAACCCTCACCCACAAGGTAATCCAGGCATCCATTATTTCTGCATCTGTTGACGTAGCTGCAAATCCCAGAAAAGATGTCTGTGTCCCTGAAGAATACAATTAACCTGATGTCACAGCCTTATAGGAATTTAAAATAAATGCTTGGCTTCTGCTATGATTTCAGAGTTAAGGAAGGTGATTTTCCTGCAGATGAAAAAGAGAAAGCTGTAGCATGAGAAGATGGAAAAACAAACAGCTATGGTTTTCCATTTTATTCTCTGTTGTAAAAAATCTAACTGCATCTGCATCTAGTTGCAACTTGCATGAATAATTAAATGATCCCCAAGATCCCCTTGTGTTGCCTGCAAAGCTGTTTCCTCAGTTAGGAGGGCAGAGGCCTTGTGCAGGAAAACAAAGAGCTCTCACTGCCAGTGGCAAGGCTGGCTGCTGAGTATGGGCAGCCCCGTGGCACTAGAGTTCATCCTCCATGGCAATCAGGACTCAGGAAATGCCACGGAAAGCATTCCGTTTTAGACAGCACTTTGGCCTTTTTTGTGTGTGTGTCACAACATTGTGAAGCTGCAAGAAGAGCAGGTACAGATCTCTGGATTCAGCAGGAAATTCCCTGAGCTTAGATTGTGCATGGCTCTGCACAAGCATGGCTTTTGTGTCCGACGTCCAGGCTGGTTCACGTAACAGGCTGGATCTGCACCTTTGTCTGCAGCACTGCTGGCTCCTGAGGGAGCGCAGGAGAAGCCATCCCGAGTGTGCTGCTCCTCGAGTGAGGACATGCCTATCAATTTTGCTTAGCCTTTACACCAAGAGAAAATGAAAGCAGGCATTTTATTTACCCCTTTGGCTTATTTGTCTTCAGCACAGATCGCCACTGTCCCCTAAGGCTCCATGATTAGGAATCGCTGTGGACATGACGAGACACATAGTTTAATAGATATGTACTGTTAACAATGGCTCTGCTGTCACAAATGTGAGCAGCTGGGCTGTGCTCTAATGGTTGTCTCATAGTATGACGCCATCACACCAGAAGCTTTCAAGCACTTTGTGAACCCAGATTACGCTCTGATGCAGGCTGTCTCATAGGATCCTCGTTGTGATTCCCAGGCACCTCCTCTGCCCATAGGCATCTCTGCAACATGTCTGGCAGTTCAAACAACAGCTTATGTAAGTTGGGCTGTGTTAAGAAATAATTAAGGAGAAAGGTTGCTGGTGAATTTGGGTACCTCTGCATCTCAGTATCCCAGCTGAGACACAAAATAAAAGTCTGATTATCATGGAGAGTAGGAGGAAGATGCTTTTTAGTCTTCTGAGACTTAGGCATGCAAAAATCAGAGGCACTAAAAAACGAAAGACTACAAACCAGTAATCATTTTAGATACTTTGCCTGCATTGCTTCTTGGTGGAGCTGCTTTTCTAATGCAAATGTGGATCTGAAAATCCAAAGCCAGTTCCAAGTGACCAGGCAGTACTGTGTGGGACCCAAGGAAATGCTCTGGAGCTCACCAGTGACCCAGGGAACATTGCTGGGAAATTTCTGCTGTGATGCATAAGAAATCCTAAGGTACATTTGAGGAGATGTGCAAGAAGTGCTTAATGAATAATCGTTTAGGCATGGTATGCTGTTCTTCCAAATGAAACCTACCAGAAATTGCTCTGAAAATCATATAATTCTCTCTTATTTCACCGTGTATGTAGTGCCCAAATAGTGTCCTTTAAAGCGTCAAATGATGTAATGATTTAAACTCCTCCAGTTGCTTTAATGATGATCCTGGTCTTTATAGGTTTCTTTGTTATTTGCTAACTTGTATTTCTGAAAAATCGTGAGAAGAAACAACATCTCATCTAATAATCTTCCTCCCTTCACTTAGCAGAAACAGCAGCAGCTGCTCGGACAGCAGGCAGAGATGCACATTCCATCTGTTTTTCCCCTTCTCTCTCCAAACAGCAAAGAACCTAGTCAGCAGCGTGTGAAAAGATGGGGTTTCTCCATGGATGAGGTGCTGAAGGACCCAGTAGGACGAGACCAGTTCCTTCGTTTCTTGGAATCAGAATTCAGCTCAGAAAACCTCAGGTGAAACCTTTTCTGACTTGATTAAATGAATGGGCCTGGTCCTACACTCTTGCATAGGTGAAATGCAGTATTTGGTGTGTCTTGAACTGCTAAAAACACCCATTTGAATAAAGATGAGAATGGCAGGGTTTGACCCATAGCGCTGCTACATACGCCTGTACTAGACCTATGTGAGTAGTCTCAGAAGCAGTGTTTTACCAGAGCCAGTGTTGTCAGGTATCTTCTGCATGCAAGGGCTTGCAGACTTGCATGATGTGATGAGATGCAGCACATCACTCCTGAGCCCCCTAACAATATATAGGATTTCTATATTGTGTGTGTCTGTGCGGCAGGGCTTGTGTGAAGAAAATAGTATGGACGTGATGTGGCTAAGAACTTGGCAGTTCTTAGTTGCAGTCAGGTTTCCAACAACTACTTTTAATTTTGGCATGTGCTGACTATCCAACAGCTTGTCTCACCTTAACAGGACTCTCTGTGTGGGGATTCTGAGTATCTGACTTCTCAAGTTGTGAACAAGTCAAAACTTCTATTATGAAACATTATGTAGATACGCACATGGTCCTTCATCAGGCTGAGAGCCAGTAAACCCCACTTTTTTACTGAATAACACTACAGAGGTGCTGTTGTGGTGCTGTGGTTATGTCTCAGCATGAGGATGGGTAAAGGGACAGGTTCTTGTGGGGTTTTTTGTGGCAGTCGTGTTCCAGAAGGCTGAGTAAGCATTTGTAGGGAAGGCCAGAGAAGCTTGCAGGCTCGCTGGCAGAACTGTGCCTGCTCTTGGGCTGAGGAAATCTGCTGTCAGGGATGACACAGTCAGTCCGGCTTTGGCCTTTGGTCGTAGTGAGCAGGCTTGATGTTCTCTTTTTACAGTAGATATGAACCTGACTGCACAGCCTTTTTTAGTTATGGTTTTTCATGCTATTTCATTTAGAAAATAAAATACATTACTAAAGCATGTGAACAATTGTCAGTGTTGTGCAGTTGACTAGCCTGCAAGATCTGAAAGAGGAATTCCCCAGAAAGTGATTTTTAATGACATTGGAACTTACCATCCTATTTATCAGGTTTCCCTGGGTAAGGAGAAGTACAGAAAGCATGCCAGCAGCAAAACAGTGAAAACTCAATGCACTTTATTGTTTTGAAAAATCTGAAAGATAACCTGTAAGAAAACAAGGGAGTGTTACTAATTACACAAATGAGCTTGAAATTTTATTGCTAAACAGGTACTGAACTTGCATATGCTTACTGCAGTTATGTGCTGCAACATTCATTTGCAATTAAATTGTAGTGAAGTGCAAAATTAATATACTGTATTAAAATACTCTTCAAATTAGTGTTCTGAAATTAATCTGGAGTTGTGCTAATGAAATCCAGCAGGTTTTATGACTAGTGTCCTTCCCCCATGTTCATCATACTCAAACAAATGGAGAAAGTTTGATTATGAGGAGGCAAACTTGTACCTTCCTTGGTCAGTCGTAGCTGCTCCTCCTGCTGATGCACATTCTCTTTGATTTTGAGATGTAGTGAAGGGAGGTGACAAAATCAGTGGGCTGGCACAGACAGGTTAAATCCTGCTTCCTTTGTGGAAGACATTGGCATCACTCTTAGTATGGGAACTTTGCTATCATTCTTATGGTATCATCATGATGGTATTGGCTTATGTGGTATTATTATCTCATATTGGATACATTATCAAGCCTTCTTAAAGCTTTAAATAAAAGGATGCAAAGGCAGAAATATTAATGTAGAAAACTGGAACAGAGTGAATTATTAGCAGTAATGCTAGAGAGAAGAAGGGTTCAGGTGAGGCAGAGAAAGCTCCTTAATTCTCACTTGGAGTATGTACCATTAAAAAAAGCAACTGCTGGATGCTTACACATGTAAGCAAAATCTAAGTTACACTCAACAGCAAAGTTGGGATCTGCCTCACCTAAGCTGATAGCTCAGAAGCCCATGCTTTCTTTTTATCAAGTATCCTTCTGGAGAGAGGAGTCAGTGAATCACCTGAGAAGGATTTGTTTCAGCTTTAAGTGGAAACAAAACTAAAAGCAGCTAAATTACACTAGAAAGCACTCGTCTCTTGTTATCATAAACTTGGAGAGACTGATTGAAATGAGTCCATGGCAGACAGCTACAGTGAGATACATCCCACCCAAGCCCTGGAAAGGTGTAAGAAATTTTCTGAGAACACAGCACTTAGCACCTTGCTAGAAAAGTAACATTCAGATTAACAAAAGTTAATCTTGTTAGGACTCTCTTCCAGTAACTACCCAGACATCTTGGAACTGTTGTAGCAGGGATGTGCTATCTCTTGGGAGTGTCAGTAAGATCTTGGGAGTATCCTTAGGATTAACGCTGGTGGGAGCCCTATAGGGCCCCTATGTTGAATTTAAGGCAGATCTGAGAAATTGACTGCTGGAAAACCTAGAAATTCATGGTAGCACTAGAAAAGATTTTGTTAAGTGTGTGCTCGAGAATGCCTTGAAATGAATGTAATTTAGTAATACAGCAAGGGGACCAAATTCTGCTCTTATACCTTGTGGCTCAGGTCCCAAATCACAGGGCTGATGGTGGTGGGGTATTTCCATCTCTTCCTAGCTGAGGAAAATTGGTCCCCGTGGGGTCTTGGGTGAGGCACTGCCAGAGATAGCAGCAGACTAGACTCGATGACCTCCCAGATCACCTTCCAGCTGTGTGTCTGTGTTCTGATAAACTTGCAGGATCTTGTCCACCAGTCTCCTGGGCTCCGCTGAGCCCTGTAACTTACTTATTTATTGGCTGTCCATTATTTATGTGGAAGCAGGAAAGCCAGTGAGTTGGTTATATTTCTCTCTGTTTTTATTTTAACTCTTTCTTGCTCTGTTTTCTTTCTCCTCTCTGTTGTTATCTTTCATCTGCAATTTGTTTTGACTCGGGTGATTTTTGGAGTACCCAAAATACAGCTGATAAATTAAAATTAAAACAAAATAAATAAGAAAGGATAAGAAAAGAATGGGCATCAGAGAGTTATTACACATTTTTTATGACCTGGGAACCTTCTGAGACATCTTGAGATTGCTGAGATGTTCATTTAGCTGGTGGATTGAATTTTTTTCCCTCCTAACTTTAAAGAGTGTCAGCTGGAAACAGCAAAGTGGAAATATGGGACATGGGGATTTCACCCGAAGGGAAAGGAGGCTGCACACCTGTTTATAGACCTCAGTGGGAAACACGTGACATTTGTGGGAATGCACTGTGGAGCTGGCAGTGCATGGATGCAGGTGCCCCGGGCCTTATTGCTTGTGAGCATATGTTGAACATGGAGATCGCGGGAAAGGAGTTTTACCTGCAGGAAGTGTTTATATCCTACATGACTCCTGATGGTTGAAACTTGTTGCCAGGTTTTTTCCCCCCCAGTTTTCACCAGGAAAGGAGAAGTTCGGGCAGTGAGGAGAGGTCATATATGCAGTAAACACACCGAGCCGCCCAAAGCCCCGTGTTCTCTAAATAAAGAACGTTCCCCCAGCAGTTCCGATGCAGTGCCCGCGCCTTAGGGCTAAGCGGGGTGCGGCCAGTGCCGGGATGGTGCAGGGGCCCCTCAGCGGGCCCGGGCAGGGCCGCTCGGCGGGCGCTGCGCACGGCCGGCGGGCGCTGCCCCGCGGCAGAGACAAAAGGGCTTTCCTGCCCCACAGCACCCAAAGGACTTTCAGCAGAAGGGACTTGCACCGTGGACGCCGGCGTGCACCGCGTGGGAGAGGAGGGGAGGGGAGGAAGGGCGGTGAGGGGGAGGCCTGCGGGATGCTTGCCCCCTTTCCACCGGCACTGAGGTGTCCTTGACAGGTCCCCAGTGCCCCAGCGTACAGCTTTGCAGCATCTGCCTGCCCCCAGCTTGCTCACCAAGGACAGATTTTTGTTGGTCTTGGCCATGCCAAGCTCACCACGCCAAAGATCTGACCATTAAACAATACAAAGATGTGAATATTGGCCCTGTCTGAAATGCATTTTGATTTTTATCATTTTGCTTCATTAATTTCCTGGCTGAGATGTTCAAAGTTAGTTCTTGGTGAATGGAAGAAGGTTTGTGAATGGTTAGAGATGTGAGGCTGCTGGGGCGTGGGATACTGGCATGGAGTTACAGAGGCAAGGAGAGACGTGTGCTTGGATTCCGACCTCAGATAGTCAGTCACTTAAATTTGCTGTCAAGCTAGGGGTATTGTGTCCACCCCCAAGACAGGGATACCACACTGCCCTTATCTTGACTGTTGTTTTTCAGTTTCTGGAGTCATCCATATTTTGCCTTCTGATCAGGATTTAAAATTAATTTTTGTTTTACAGTGTACCACAGAAGAGACCGCTCCCCCGCTACTCACCCTGTCTTTCCCCAGCAGCTTTTTCGCTGTCTTTGAACAGCAGTGACCAAGCACGGCTGCAGTGCCCTGCAGGGAGGCAGAGCGCACACGCTGAGGTCCAGGAGCTCTCTGTGCCTTGGGGGAGCTGTGGAGGACAAATGCATGCCATTGTGGGATATCTTCTGCCAGTGACAGCAGTTTAATTACAAGCTGGATGAGGCTGAAATGGTTTTTGCCACTGACAACACTTTAGGACACCATATTATCAGCCTTCTCCAGTCCTTACATGCTGTTTTATAAAGGACAAAGAACCTGTGATCAATGCTGCTGTTCCCTCTGTGCAGACAGTCCCTGTGCCAGTTCTGCTCTGTTTAAAGTGCACCTGTGGAGAGGACACACAGGGAGATCTCCCTTCTCCCCTGCCCTGTGCAAAGGTGTCTGCTGGACATCTGTCTCCTGCAGAAAGAGAGGGGGCAATGCAGGATTTTCAACTGACTCCTTGTGAACTTGCGGCTGGGCTTGTGCTTCAGAAATTGCAGGAGTGATTCAGGGAGTGCATTTGCACTTTATAACTGAGCAGAATTTCCAGCACGGTCATTGTATGTCAGCTCCTCTCCTAAGTAGAAATACCTGCTTCACTGTTGCAAATGCTATAAATCCTACAGGAAGCCCTGCTTATGTGTTGGCTCTTCCTTGTGGCAGAGAATTTGCCTTGGAATTGAAGCTGTGGGGCTGGGTACCCCTCTTTGATGTTGATTTTCAGATGCTAGCTATAGTGAATAGCTTTGAAATCTTTACCAAGACAAAACTCCCCTTTGCCTTGAAGAGGACATCCAGCCTTGGCCATGAATTCACAATTGCTTGCAGTAAAAAGAGCTTGTTCTTTTTACTGTCAGGTTGGTCTGGTTGGTTGGTTTTCAGATTGAGCCAAATGGTTATTAAAATGGATGGTGCTCCTGTTCTGGCAAGCTGTCACTTCACAGTGATCCCAGTTCCCTCACAAGCGTGCTTTCCCAGCCCGCCTCCCCAGCTCCAGGGGCAGAAGATAAGCCAGAAGAAAAGGTTCTCTCTAGCCAAGTGTTTGTCTGAAGTGTCCCAGCTACTCTGGAATGATTAGCATCTTTTCTCCCTATGCCTTTTCTGCATTCACATGTTCCTATTACATCTGAAATGGAATGATAAAGTATTTTCAAATAACGGAAGCCACATATGGCATCAGATTACTGCGCTGTGAGTGCCACCCTTCGCTCTCTGAATGCATGCGATAAGTGGGGGTGTCACTGCTCAAATGACAAGGCAGGATATCAGGTGCACTTAAACTCTCAAAGATGGAAAAGCACCAACCATGCACATTCCTCCACCAACCCCAGATACTCTATTTCAGTTTATAAAATCAAATGTCACTTTGTTAGAACCACACGTATGTGACTCTATAGGTACTGATGTAATGTTGGAGTGTACCTCAGTCTTTTTTACTGAGCCTGCCAAGGAAATGGGAAAACCATATGAAGGAGTTTCGTCTGATGGCTTGGGTGAGTCAGGGCTGTGGCATGAGGCCCCCTGATGGTCGGGAAGAAGCAGCAGACAGGCAAGGAGGATTTAGCCTGGCCTTGCATGTCATGTGGATGTCATTTTCTCCCCAAATTGACTGTTTGCCTCTGTTGCAGGTAGGATACCAGGCTAAATGGAGTAGCAGCCTCATTTGCTTGCAATAACACCACTGATTCCAGGGTGTTTAGGTACTGCCTGCAGCCATTAAGGAAGCGAGGGTCAGGAACAGCACAGGAGTCATCAGGCTGCTGTCCACCCTCACTGCCATCAGGATTTTTGTTTGGGACAGACTCTATAGTCCTCCTTCCACCCTGGAGGAATATTTACCTTAGTGGCAGCACTGAAACCACTGAATCATTCAGGGTGAGAAATCAGGACTTCAGTTACAGTTCTACTGGTTTATAAGGAACACACAGGATTTTCCAAGTGCAGCTTTTGTAGATGCCCTGAACAAGCAGTGACCCAGCCAATCCCTGTCCCCTCTGCACAGTCTGCCCAGCTGAGGGAGTGCATAAGAGCAGGGCAGGGACAGCCAGGGTGAACCCTGCCCTCCTTGTCGCCCTGGACAATGGGCACCTTTGCCAGGGGGTAGGAAAGAGCTGGCTGTTGCAGGTGGCTGCAAAGGTGCCTTCAGTACCTGTTTGCCCCGTAGCCCTCAGCACTCCCTGCAGAGCCCTATTGTGCTTGCTCAACCAGGTTGCAGGGCCCAGGTACTCAGGGCAGATAACCTTCAGGGATACCTTCTTGCTGGAAGATAGAGTTGACCAAAACAAAACGCTACTGGGCACCATGCATCTTCTGAATTAATCACCTGAAAGAGCATATCTCTTTCAGCAATAAATAAAACCAGCATCACCAACAAAATGTATTTTCTTTTTCCTAGGATAAAAGACAAAAGACATGCATGTCACTCTTGCAAAATATTCTGTGGTCTTTGTTTTCACAGATCAACATATGGATTATGTCCTTAGCTATCAAAGGGATTATCTTCTCAGTGTTTATGAACTTACTTTAGTCTGTAAGCATAGCCTAATCAAAGAAATACCACTGTTAAATTGGAGTATGGCATGACAAGAGTCGTCTTTTCTTATGGCATCCATCTGAATGCTGGTCAGTTTACAAGTGAAAAAAAAAACAACCAACTCTAAGTGGCATTGCTACAACTTCACACTGGAAATGATATGAATGTTAAGTTTGTTCTTCATTTTACGTCCCCTGTGGATGACCAATCCTGCAGGCAGGAATGACCAGCACATTGCCGCAGGGCTGTGGGAGGCAGAGCCTTCTCCTCTCCTCCAGCTGCATAGCTCTGGAAGTTTCCTGTTTGCCTGCCTAATCTGACACTTCTGCAGGGGCAGTTTGAATAAGAATGTATCTCTTCTTAAAGTCAGTGTCCTGATGTTAGCCAAAATATAAGGGGTTGGTGTAAAATACATCACCCCTTCCCCTTGAAATCATGCTAACATGGAGAGTCTTCTGTGAATTCTAATAGATGCAGGATTAGGTTCTATATCTGTTTTAGGACTCTGCCTAGGCTTATTCCCAAAATCTTACCTAGATTTCTATGTTTTTCTCTTTTCTGCTCTTTTAATTTTGCCTAGTACAGGTTTTGGTTGGCTGTCCAAGATCTCAAGAAACGACCTTTACAGGATGTGACCACGAGAGTGGAAGAAATCTGGCAAGAGTTTCTAGCTCCTGGGGCCCAAAGTGCCATTAACCTGGATTCCCACAGCTATGAGAAAACAAGCCAAAATGTCAAAGACCCAGGAAGATATACATATGAAGATGCACAGGTTAGTTTTTGGTTTTATGGAACTACTGCTAATGAAACTCTCTGTTTTAATATGATATTCCACTATCACTTTGTCACTGCTCACTTGTAAGAAAAAGAAGATGCACAGTTTGAAGTGACTTTGAGGATATCTGTTCAAGCTGGGTAAATTATATTTTCATTGAATCTATCTGTTATAACAGGCTAAGGCTCCTCTGGGAACAAATGTTCCAAAATCTACAAGTCTGCAAGGTGCTGCAAGCTGGAGCCATGTCTCAGAGAAAGCACAGATGAAAAAGTGCTATACAGTTCAGCTTGTCTGTCTGTGCTACCTGTCACTAAAGTCTGGCATAGTTACAGAATGGCCAATGTCATATCAAAACCCTAGCTAATACACTTTTTTTATATTTTATTTATTTATAGCTAATTATGTTCCACTGCCAAACCCCAAAAGCAGCAGCTCACTCCAACACAGCTGGGAATTTGTCCACCAGACAATACCTTAGAGTAATGATAGGGCAGTAGGCAATGCAGTGAGCTTAATCCTTCCCTCCTAAGGCTCCAGATTTATCAGGGAAATTTTACAGATAAACTGTACACAGAAAATGCCTTGAGGAAAGCAGATAATTTGAGGAAAAACTGCTATAAGCAAGGGTAAAGCTGCATAACCTTTTGGAAAGTGAAAACATAATTTTCTAATTTTTAAAAAAGAAAGATGAAGGGATCATTTGGAAAATATTACTGGGAACACAAATTAAAAGATATCCTCCTCATAATCATTTTTTCACAAGATGTAGTAAAACCATCAGCAAATGAAAAGAATTCCAGGGTTTGGGGATTTTTTAATTGGCATTCAAAGGCAATTCTTCAAAATACTCCACTAACAAAATACTTTCATCTCGGGGGAGATGTTGTGGACCACTTATACAAGGTTAGGCAATGAATTTTTCAAACCAGCATCAAATACTCTATTTTCCTGAATGCAATCTTGCTCCTTGGGGCCAGCATAGAAGGAATGTACACGAAGTTACAAGGCAGTCCCCTGTGAATATCAGGCAACTTAAATGCCCTTTCTAAAGCTGAGAGATACAGGAGTGTGAAGACATTCTGGATAAGATATATTCTTTGCTTGGCAGTTGTAGTGAAAAAGAATTGCATGCATCACCTGAAAAAATGATGATGGCAAAATACAGGCGAAAGTAGATAGGTGAATAATGGGAGAATTTATTAAATTGATAAGTAGAAGTACTAAGAATAAGACAAATGTTTAGATGATGAGTATTTAATTAGAAGACGACATGGAGAATTTAGCCTTGAACTGATCAGTTCACTATGTAATTACCATTCAAAGGGGAGTTGATACAATCAAGCTGGAGCCCTGGCAGCTAGACTGAAATTTTATCTCCTTGGGTTGATTTTATTTCAGTGGATTTTTACACTGACAGATCTCTTCAATTCATCTGTTGTAGTTCATGGACACAGAAATATGAGGCAAAAGTAGACCTTCAAGGGCCAGCTATGGTTATCTTGGAGATTGAGTCTATTGAATCCTCAAGAGAGGATAGCACAATGTGGAAGGTGAACCGAGTTACCTTCTTGGGCAGTGGGCTTCTGGTAGCTCTCCAAAGGCCAAGCAAGCTGTTTGTGACTGCTTGAGTGGATAGCTGAGAAGGTGTTCTGACACAAGCAGGAAGAAGCAGGACATTGCTGAAGGGTGCAGTGCCCTAGTACAGTTTTTACTGGCTCATCCTGGAGAAGGGAAGTTTTTGTTTGCACATTCACTTCATGGAAGCCAATGCAGATTGCCCCAGGATGCTGTAAATCTCCCAGGACCTGCTGTGGTGTTTCTCACAGGTCAGCCCTGCCACCACAGAGGCTCTCATCCATGAATCTGCAGCAGCTGCTTTATCTCAGCACCCTGGCACCAGGAGTCCATGGGAGCTCCCACACATCCCACATTCCTAGGGACTCAACCAGATACAACTAATCAAAACACTCTCTGTGGGAGGGGAAAATACAAGTGTTGTCCTATGCTGAGTAGTTTCAGCACAAAGAGGAAAGCAACTGAAATGTCCTTGTAAGTGAAGAACAAGAAAAAAATTAGAAAATCAGTTTACTCAACAACATATTCTTTGAATGACTTCAGATCTGAGCCACTAAGAGGAAGGGTGTTGGCTGATCTGAGAGAATTAGTTCGATACTCCTGCAGTGGAAGAATAGGAGAAAGTGATGTGGCACTCTAGTCATGACTTGAGAGATCCACAAAATGCCAATTCTGTATAAAAAGCACTGGAAATGGACACATTGCTGTACTTGGGAAGGGCAAGGTGTAGCAGAGCACACTGAGGCCAGCAAATGCTTTATAACAGAAAGTTGAAAGCAAAGCATCATTTGTTATCAGGTGCTTAATAGTCTACATTTGATGTGCTTCTTTGCACACCCTTGGCTCCCAGCCCCAAAGAGCTCTCCCAGATGCTGCTCAACCATCTGGTTGAGCAACTAGCCTGGATAAAAACAGGGAGAAAAGAGGCTCTTGGCAAACATTCCTCTCACTTCAAACCTCTTTGTCCCCAGGCCAGTCATGGTCTGAAAGCAAATGCGTGCTCTGTTTAAGAAAATCTCAGCTCCAAATTTCAGTCCCCAAAGTGCTCCTAATCCAAACCTGAATTTGGTGTGCATTTATTATTTCAGACAAACGTCTCTCTGAGATGGATTCCTGTTCCACAGAAGCAAATGTTGTGCCATTTCTCCATCTCAGCTTAAGATACTTGCTGTGTCCCTCAGTGCTGCTGCACTCCACAGTCCTGCACTGCTGGATTTGCATGGAGCTGCCCCTCCTGATGTGGCTCCCTCAGGTGCCATCGCCCACCCCGTGCCCGGCTCAAGCTGTGCCAGCACACCTCAGCTCTGAGCAGAGTGTGCTGTGCTGGCTCAGCCTGCGCTCCCCTCCCCAGCTGTCCAGTTTGTTGGTGTTTCTGTCCTTGAGCAGCCCAGTGCTGCTTCTGGCTCTGTCCTCATCATCAGCTCTGCCAGCTATCTTGGTCCGCAGCACCTTCTGTCATTTTAGTCCTGGGCCCCTCCAGAGGGGAGCCTACCAATTTAGCTGATTATTTCTGCTCTTAGACAACTGTCCTCTGAGTAAAATATTATGATTATCAAACCATTTTCACTGGGGAGCAAAACAGCTTTTAATACAAGGGGCATCGTCAGGAAAGGTCAGTTCAATTAAACAGTGAAGTACTTAGCAGGATGTAAGCTCCCACAGGAGTTTTCAGAATCATTGAACAACCAATGTGGGGCCCTGCAATATGAAGCAGGCACCACCAGCTCTGGAAAGTAAATAGGTTTGGGTCCATCTGAATGGCCTCTTTTGGCTAATGAAGCTGCTGACAGCCAAAGTAATTCATCTTTATATGGGAACACAGAGCTGTGAGTATGACAATTATGACTTATCTGTATGTTATTAGTTTTTTAACCATTCTTCCCCTACCCTCATCAAGCATCTCTTTGCCTCCCCTGTAGTGTCTTTCTGCCTTCAGAAAATCTTTAATCCCTTCCTCTGTCCCTTGGTGTTAGGAGCTAGTATCACCAGGATGCATTGTGCTTCCTCACAGTAATGTTTGTAGGGACATTTAGTCTACATTTACTGGTAGACTTCAGAGCTAGGTGTACCAGAGTCAGGTAAGCCACACAGTTGTCTTTGGAATTCCTTTCCTGTTTTCTTTGTTTATTTTTTATAAATATTTTTATTCTTTAATAAATAAAATAGAGTTTTAGATTGATATTCTTTTACCTGAACTAACCAGCTGTTGTTTCTATAAAGATAATTCAGGGAAATTGAGTTCTAACCCAGGCTCTGTTAGGAATTTAACTGTTACTTTCAGATCCTTGGCTAATTCCAGAGCAGATTTAGACCATAATGCTAAATTCCAGGCAGCTCAAACCAGAAATGTACCTGTCCCAGATTTGAAACATAGAATAATTTGAGACAGAAGACACCTTTAAAGTTCATCTAGTCCAGCTCCCCTGAAATGAGCAGGGTAGATCTTCAACTAGATCAGGTTTCTCAGAGCCCTGTTCAACTTGACCTTGAGTGTTTCCAGAGATAGTGAATCTGCCGCCTCTCTGGACAATCTTGGCCAGGGCTTCATTATCTTCATTATACAAACTTTCTTCCTTAAATCTAATCTTGAGATTTGAGCCCACTTCATGCTCTCAGCTGCCTCATGTGTAGTTCCATCTGTTCTGGACTGCGACAGAGATACGAGTCCTTGCAGGATTCATCAGTGGTCAGTCATCAGTTTGCATTCTGGTTGTATCAGGAAGCTCAAGGTGCTGACAGAATTTGACAGGAACCTGTTGAATTCAAAACCAAACTCCCAAGTTTAAACAAGGATCTCTTGGAAGTGAAATGTTATTTTTCACCAAGAAGGGAAAATGAGGGGGGACTTCTCCTAACTTTGTATTTTCAAGCATGCACAGGATGTGAAAGGCCTGGTGTCTATTCAGTGGGCATAGAGAATTCGTTTTATAGGTCTGGAGCAAAATGACAGCATGGAAGGAAGATGTGAAAATAATCATTCATTGTGTGTCTGTATCATCTTTCGTGTAAGAACTTGGAGAAGCATTATTCGTGTTTTCTTAAAGTTTTGTCCAGTCACCCCAGTTACATGCATGTGTGTAGAGGACAACAACTAAGGGTGGGTTAGCAGTGCAGGCAGCCAGCAAGGGGACATGGAGCAGACTAAGGTCCTCTGCCTCTAAGAGGGGATCAAGTCCACCTGAACCAGTGCTGTTGAGAGACATTGGGCCTGTGCTGTGGGGAATTGAAAGCATTATTACATGACATCAGTATTTACACATGAATGGTGTGCCCAGAGGTCCTGGGGGCTTTTGACAGCCTGCACCTTCCTGTGGAAGTTAGGGACTGCACAAGGACTTGACCTTTATTCCCTTCTCCTCCTTTGGCTCTGATTCTGTGGGGCTGGAGGAAAAAATCCTTCCTTTCACTGCAGTCTGGTT